ATAATTATATCGTAACACATGAAAAAAATAACAGAAAGAAATTTTTTCATGATCATATGAGTTTGCCGGATAAAAATGCGATAACATGACCTCGAATTCATTAACTCATGATATCAGAATATTCGAGATACTGCAACTCTATAATTTCATATAGTAACTATGTACTTTTATGTTAAAATGCTGATAAAGGATTTTTTACTTTATAAACAGCTGAACCCATTATCAGCTCACAATTTTGTATGCTTAATTCAGTTAATTAAGAACTTTAGTATTTCCAACAAGAAATCATTCGAACTATTCACGTGACCAGTACTACTTTCTTATTGTATAACTAAAAAAAATTGCTCAACTTATTTAAAAAAGAACAGATTTAACTACACATAATACCATACCAAATGATATCGAATTCTTCAAATGGTTGTTGAGTATTATTGATCAAAGGTTAAAAAAAAAAAGATCTAGGTGGATGTGGAATACCAGTTCTTTGTTTTTTTTTGTCAACATTATTCGTAAATAACTATTCGGTTTTTAGATGTGAGTTTTTGACCAACTACAGTGTATTCCACGAGCATTATTTAATGGATAATCATTATAACAAATTGAACATATTAAAAAATATATATATAATTCCGAAAATTTGCAGGGTAATGTTTGATATCTAATGTTCTCAATGTTCTCAAGAACATTTATAAAGTTTTTGAGAACACTGCATTTAAAAAATATGATCTCTTTTGCGAACAAATTAAGAACATAAAATGTTCCTATAAAATATGTGTAGGGTACAAGATTCTCATTAACATGGATTCTTATTTATGCAGTAGTTTTTACTATATAATAGTGTATTGCTTCGATCATATAATCGATCGATTAGGCTTGATGATGTTATAAGCTCAATTATGTAATGATCGATTGTTTAAATCGATTGAATGTTTAAAATTTGATCGGTTATGTTAATCGATTAAATGTTTAAAATTTGATCGATTAAGAAAATCTAAAAAAAAATTTATTTTACAGTATATCATTATAAAATACTATACAATAGATCAATGGTTGACCCAATGATTGGTCGATTATGTATGTTCGAGCAAATAAATTACGTGTTTGATCGATCATACTCGATTAAACTTACATAATTAAATTTGATCGATTCAAAAAAATTTTTTTCTATCAATCATCGATCAACGATTTTTTTGTCGAGACAATTCCCTATATAATAGTTTATTTCCGATAAAAATTGTTTGTTGGTCTACATTACTTTAATGCAGCCAGCTGACCAACATATTTCCTATATAAAACATATTCAATTTAATTGAAAAAAGATAGAACAGAAAAGATAGTAATACTGTATTAATAGTAATATGTCAATAATAAGATATGGCAATAATAATAAAAAAAAATAAAAATTTATTACAACATAAAAATTAACTATAATACACCAATATACAAAAAAGATTACTTCTGTTAAACATAAAGGCTTCTATAATATTAAATGATATACTGTATATATCCGTATCCAATTTTATAATGCAGTATAAATTTACTTTGTCAATTTGAACTCTGCATCTTTCTTCATATTTTATGGCATTCAGTTAACTACAATCAAAATTTCAGTTATTCTCCATTAAGTTATATCTCAATTTAAGTTATATCCTCACCATTTAGCAAAATAAATATCTTATATTTGTATCTCTACTGAAGCTATATATCCAAAAGCACTTGAGCAAAAGAGGTGATATAACTGAAGTTTGGCTGTAATTCTAATATTGTTTTGGGTCTCAAACAAATCTTAGCAACATCATTTATTTTCATTTTCTTTGAGCCATTACCTTTTTGTGGTCCTAAAACACGACTAAATATATCCTGCAATGACTGATTATCAAAGAAAATCTTATCAGGGTCATACTTTGCACGCACTTTTTCAAATTGTTTAATTTGATCTGATAAGATATCAGAAAGATAAAGATTCACATTTGGATGAAGGTTCCAATTTTTTGCCCAATGAGGTCTATAGTAAAAGTTTGTATAATTAGTTAATTAATGAATTCATTGCAAAAGAATCAAAATTTTAATAATTTCTTACCTTGCTCTGTACTTATCGAAAAGTCTCTGCCCAATTAATTGCACCCATTCTTTCCAGTCAGGAGTATCACGAACTGTTACAACATCTAATTGACAATACAACGCTTCTGGATCATGGTCAAAATTATTAGATAATAACGCTTCACTTGATTTTATGATTCTGAACTCTGCAACATAATTTACTGGAAATTTTCCTTGTACTGCAAATTCATAAATCTATAAAAATAATAAAGTTACTCTAAAGAGCAACAAAAACAAATTAACAGAATATCAGATACAGTTATAAACTCACTGATTGAACTAAGTAAGAAAATTCGGTAGCAACGTTGGAAAAATCCGGATCAATTTTAAATCCATATTCTACTAGATCAAGATTGAGACTTTCTTCGCTAGCTGCGTAATGGATAGCATCAGGAGCCTGATATACAAAACTAGTATTACCACCATTAATTAAAGCACTCCATGTCATAGCGATGGCATCCGGAATTTTTTTAGATGTTTGTAAAATACTACTTATGAACTGAAACTGTTGAATAAGACCTTGTGATTGAAGTTCACGTGTTTTTTGAATCTGCTGTTGTGTGAAACTCGCAGGTTCATCAGTTCGTACCCAATTCTTAACCCAAACTAGATCTCTATTAGGGTCAAGAGGTTTCGGTTCACTTAGATTGAATCCATTGAATGGTATATAAAATATTTCAATACCATCAGATGATTCTACAATATTTTTAATTATATGTGGTTTAAGCCATTCGTTCACTGAAATATAAACGTCGTTCATACGAAGATTGTACATAGGTTTTACACGGAAAGTCACAGAATATATTATACCAAGTAAACCTAAACAATAGCAGATTATAAAAATTAGATAATGAAGAAAAAAAGTAAATCAAAAAAATGAAAATTTATTAGTTACCTAAGTTGACTTTCGCTGCATTAAATTCTGACTTGTTTATTTCTTCACTAAATTCACTTACTTCACCAGACCCAGTGACGATTTTCATCGAGCAAATTTGATCAGGCATATTACCAGAACTGGTTGTTGCACCATGTGATCCCGTTGCTATAACACCAGATACTCGAACTGTGTTATAGACAACAGCTGATTCAAGGGTTAATGGTGGATTATGATTTCGTAGTGCTTCATCAAGATCCGCTAACGATATACCTATTTTCAATTAAATGATAATTAATCTTATAATTATCACGAATAAATATATATTTGTATAAAATTTACCAGCTTCAGCAGTAACAGTCCAGCCATATTTTGGGTGTTCTTGCACTGTGACTTGAGTTAAATTTGTAACTACCACCAGATAGTGCTCTGTGACAGACAAAGAACTTACACTATGCCCCTGGGCAGCACATCGAATAGTTTTATTATTTTCCTTTGCTAGTTTTACAATATTAATAAGTTCTTCAAGTGTAGATGGTTCAAAAATGGCATCTGGTGAAATATTAATTGCACCATTCCAATTTTCCCATGTTTTATTGTTAATCGGTGTCGAGGAGCGGACCACGAAATCTTGATATGTACTCACCGAGACAGACTTATAAACTGTCAAAATTATTAGGAACAATAAGAAACTTAAAATATATTTCACGATCATTATAATTATTCGATTAGGAGAGACCAAAGGTATATTTTCTTGATGTTGAAAGAGTCTTATTTATTGCAAATTTCGCCGCGCACAAGATAGCTTTAGTTTTATTCCTTGACTTTTACAGTTATTTAGATATTACTGATGTAAAACATGCCAATAGTCTGTGGAGCTAAATTTGCACAAATCATTGTTTGTTCTCTTATTTGGTAAAATATAAGCTAAAAAATGTCGACATGTTCTATGACTGATAATAATAATAATAATAAATTTAGATATAAAAAAATAAAAAAATAATAAAAATAAAAAAAAAAAAGAATTAAAAGATAAAAAAAAAATATTAAAAATAAAAAAAAATGATAATATATATAAAATAAAATAAAATAAAAAATATAAAAATGAATACTACATCCTCGATCTTAACACTTAATTATTCTAATATATACAATTCCTATTTCTTTCTCGAATGGAAAAATTGCCCTATTGATAGCCCCGC